TTTCTTTTTCTGAATGATGACGTCATTTTATGTAAACCTATTTATAAGATTGATCAGAAAATTTCTAATCAACATAACTCCTCAGAAATTGGATTTTCTTTGATCTAATCCAACTCTGGCAACCATAATAATCAATTCATTCCAATTTATTGATTATTTATAATCTGTATCATTATCTCAATAATCAAATAATAATAATAATATAATAGATAAATAACAACAATATATTAATAGATAAGGATAAAAAATATATATATAGATACAAAATATATATTAATAGATAACTAATAAAAATATATATAAATAAATAAAATAAAAAATACAAATACGAATGGGCTTACTTGTTTGGATCAGGTCTAATTGATCCGGGTTTGGTCCAAATTAAGTGTCTATAGCTGCCCCTCTTTGCACATTTTCTATGAAACAAGAATTGTACAAAGACATAGACACCCATTCCAGACTTCACTTGACCTTTTTTTTTGTTTTTTTTATTTTTTTTTGCTTTTTTTGTATTAAAATTTTAATCAAAACTCCTCTAAGTAGAGGCCCAAAGACTTTTGAAAAAATAAACAAAGCTCCTCTAATCAGAAGCTCAACAACTTTGAAAAATAAATAAAGCTCCTCTAAACAGAGGCTCAACAACTTTGAAAAAATAAATGAAACTCCTCTAAACATAGACTCAACAACTTTGAAAAATAAATAAAGCTCCTCTAAACAGAGGCTCAACAACTTTGAAAAAATAAATGGCTCCCTTAATTAAAGGCAATAGAACTTTTGAGAAAATAAATGGCTCCCATAATCAGAGGTAACAGAACTTTTGGGAAAATAAATGGCTCCCCTAATAAGAGGCAATAGAACTTTTGGGAAAATAAATAGCCCCTCTAAATAGATGCAACAGAATTTTAAAAAATAAAATACTCCTTGACAATCATGTCCAAAGGAGTCAAAGATCATGTTTGAAGGAATTTCAGGAGATTATGTCTAAAGGTCTTACAAATTGATCCTGATACCAAGAGATTTCCTTTTTCAAAGGTTAAAAACTTACCTCATATGCTTTTTCTCAACCAAGAATTGAAAAATCAAAAAGTCTTCAAATCTGTCTTCTCCATGTGGGGATCCTAGAATACCCTTACTTTTTGAACTTATGCACTATGCTTTCTTGAATGCAGTATATGCTATGCGAAATATAATGTGTGTGAAATTCGATACATGCTATGCTAATGCTGGCTAATTATTTTCCATTTAGTTATGGTACTCAAGTTTCTCAAGCTCTTTTCTTGGGCCTCGAACCCTTTGTTCTTCAAAGACCAAATTAGCATAACTCTTAATCATCCTTTTCTTTTAATTCTCACATTCTTTCTGCAAGAAATTTCCTTTCAAATTCAATGTCCTTATTAGGAACTGAACATATCAAATTTACCTTTATCACTCTTGACCTTTCTAATGTAATGTAAAAAATCTTTAATGCTATTATTTATCTATCAATCGTTATTTCAATCTCAAAAAGTAAGAATGTATTCACACATTTGCAAGGTATTAGGAAGAAAAGAATAAGGATGGTTAGGAAATAATCAACAGCAGGAATGTATTTTTTAGCAAAAAAAAAAGTTGGCAAACTTTGGTCAAGAAAGAATTACAAAGATAGGTATGGGGAAACAATGCTAAAAAATGAACAATCAGACAATCATGATAACACATCTCAAGATCTTTTTTGAAAACTCAATCATCTAATGCACTTGTAGACACCCAATTTGGTCTGGCTTCGGATCAATTAGGCCTGATCCAAATGGGCAAGCCCATATGCATTTTTATTTTTGTGTATTTATTAATAATATTATTTATTATTATTATTATTATTATTTATTTTATTATTTATCTGTTAATGTTTATTTTATCATTTATCTATTAATATTTTTATCTAATTTTTTTACTTTATCTTTTTTCTTAATTGATTCCCGATTGGGATTAAGATAAAAAAAAATTAAAATTCTGGCGTAAATTTGGGGCTAACAGAGTTTGGATTGGATTCAAAGATTGAATCCAGATCTCAGAAGAAATTGGATTGATCAGAAACTCTTCTAATCAATCCCTATAAATAGGTGCTAGAGCATACGGGAAAGGGACAGAAAATACACAGAGAGGAAACAGAAGCTAAAAAAGGTTCTGGTGCGTCAGAACAACTTTAAGAATTTGTGAGAATTTTTTTAAAATTTTTGAAGTTTTTTTCTGGAAAATTTTTGGAAATTTTCCAAAATCCGACGAAATTTTTCGACGAGATTCAAGTTTTCCGACGAGATTTCCTGCCAACTTTGAACTTTCCGACAAGTTACCCAGTTTCTGGCATAACTTCCCAGAAACTAACCAACTTTTTGATGACTTTCCGATGAGAAACCCAGATTTTGACAAGAATTTCCAAAATCTGATTAAATATCAACCGATGTTATTAAGGGGATAGAGAGAGGGGGAGAGAAAAAGAGAAGTAGAGAGGGAGGGAGGAAGAGGATTCTACTGGGAAAGGCTGAAATTAGCCTTTTATAGCTCCTCAAAATGACGTCATTTTGAGTTTAAGAAAATTTCATGATCCATGTGTTTTAATTCGGGCAACCCAACCCGTTGCGCTGACCCACTTCAACCTGCTTCACGAACCCTGCTGTTGAGTCGAGCCAAGCCGATTGCCAGCTGAGCCACGTTTTGAGCCATGGTTTCTATCTTAAGCCAAGCTGATCTTAGCCGTAAGCCGAGCCATTTCCATTTTTTTGGTATTTTTATTTATTTATTTTATTTATGTGTTTAATTATTTTAAGAGTATTTTTGCATGATTTAATTTAATAAAATAATAAAAATAAAAATTTTGGGAATAAATATTAATTATCCAATGATGAAATCTATAAAAATTTCAAATGGTAAATTTTTATAAAATTCCTAAGTGAGAAATTTTATCTAAAATTGTCACAAATGATGGAATAATATAGATAAAATTTCAATAACAATAATTAATATTTATTTTCAAACAAAAAAAATTAAAAACATAAAAAGCATAAAAATATAAAATTTTTGGAATTAAATATAATTACCCAAGGATGAGATTCTTAGAAATTTCAAATGATAAATTTCTAAGCAATCTCTAGGTGAAAAATTTTCTCTAAATTTGGCCCAAATGGTGAAATGATTTAGATGAAATTTCAATACAAGTAATTGTATTCTTTTCTAAATAAAAATTTGGATTGAAAATATTTGATAATTATCTAAAGATGAGATTTTTAAAAATTTCAAATGGTAAATTTTTAATAAATCTCTAGGTGAGAAATTTTCTCTAAATATGACCCAAATGGTGTACTAATTTAGATGAAATTTCAATAACAATAATTGTCATATTATTTTCTTTCCAAGGAAAAAAAAGAAAAAGAGAATTTCTAAATAGACCCAAATGGTGGAAATTTTAGAAATTCAAAAGAGAATATTTCTAATTTTGCCCAAATGGTGGAATAATTAAATTTATTTTCAACAAAAATTGATAATAACAAATAATAATAAATAAATCATTTTTCGACGATAGAGCCTCTTCAAGAAATCAAATGAGATTCTTGAATACTCTTGAGGTGAGGAAGTATTTTTTAAGAGTTCTATCAGATTGATAGAGAATCTTAAAAATTATTTTCAATATTTGAAATCATTAGACTTCGAACCTTAGGATAAATTTGAAATAATATGGTACCATCCCTTGGATGGGCATGTTGGGGTGCTATAACATTCCCCATATGTAACCGAACTCTCGAACCCTGTTCTAGTTAGTAGACCCGAACATATTCTTTTAGGGACCCTTAGTCAAGCTTAGGAGTTTTTTAAAAGGATAGATTCTCTAGGTGACCAATCACACCTAATAAAAGATTGGTGGCGACTCCATTCATTTGTTAAATCTAGCTATAGATTTTCAAATCTATATGTTATGACAGTTTGGGAACTCCACTGGGGACGCTAGTGAGTCAAGCCATAATTTTTGAATTTATCATATCCTTTAAACTAACGGTTTTAAGTTATTTGTTTACTAACATTTTTCTTTTTTGGTTTCTTATTTGATTTATGGGATTGATAATTTTGTGTTCCTTCACACATACTAACACATGCATTTGCATTACATGAGCTATATACCCGGCCACAGTCCCTCTTAGAAGGGAGTAAAGTACCTACGTTCTCGTGAGATGATAATCTTTGCAATGGCTAGCTAAATACTCCCACTCAAATTAAATCTTTTCTGTTGGTAGCTTGTGATGGGTGAGGATGGGACTGCCTTACTAGTTTGTGATGGACAATGATATAAAGAATAATTTAGGAACCTTTTAGGGGTCAAAATCTCCTAACCCTATATATAGTTCACCCCTAAGAAACTAACTTAAGATAAAGCCCTTCCTATCCATCAATAAATATAACCCAAAATTAGGACATAAGAAGGAACAATTTGTTAACTAACTATTTTGTCTCCTTGATTTTGTGCATCTATATGTCATTTCATTCTCATGTTCTAGCATTTCATTTTATACATCATCTCTATTCTCATGCTCTAGCATTATCATATCATGACCATATTTAACACTATCGTTTGCATCCTTTTCATTTGCCATATATCAGTTATTGATAAATTAGATCTCACACTTACATTCATGGAAAGTCAAATGCAACCAAAGTCTACATCAGTCCACTATGAGTCTGCTTATCAATTGAAAATTAAGTCAGAAGAGGGTCAAAGAAAACAAAAAGATTGCTTACCTAAGGATTTTATTTCATCATTACCCAAAAGAGTTCATCTAGAGCTACAGTAAAATGATCTATCTGACTTAAGTAGTATTTGAGGATGCATGTGTAGAATAAGACGTGAGGCATTTGAGAATAGATATGGAGACATAACTTCACTACTACAAGTGCAAATGGATAATAATTTGATTAGGGCCATCATTCAGTTTTGGGATCCTTTATATAGATGTTTTGTTTTCAATGAAGCAGACATGGTACCTACAATTAAAGAGTATATGGTCTTACTTCGCTTCGGTCTGCCAAACCCAGATAAGATTTACTGGTCCCATAAGGTGAGCTATCGTAAAAAGCTAGTGCAAATGCTTGAACTTAATTTACCTCAAGTCGATTCATGTGTCAAGATAAAAAGTGAAAATAAGGCTATTTCGTGGAGTTTTTTATGAAACTTCATCCAGAGGCATATGGATGATGATCAGGGATTAGTGGCTATGGCTATAGCTTTATATAGACTGGTGATCTTCTTAAAAGTCATCGAATATGTTGATATTACAGTGGTAGATTTTGTTGATCAGTTAGCATATCAGGTCAATGCAGCATCGACTATTCTGGCAGAAACCATTCGTTCTCTAAGCTTTTGTCGTAGAAATGGTAAGGGGTGATTTAATGGGTGCCTACAGTTACTTTATATATGGATGAAAAATTACATGGAATGTAAAGAAAGTCAATTTCGTAAACCATACCTTTGTTCTAGCATCCCCATCAAGGAATTTTGTTACAGCACATGACCTCCAGCAAAGTCAAAAGAGGAATGAATTTCCTATTTTCGAGCTCTTGATAGTCAAGGGATAGTTTGAAAAACACCTTGGATGCATCATGATATGGTGTTATACAGTTATGGAAATCAGCCATGGGTGTTTTTATTAGGCCTATAGGGTGCTGTTACTTATGCTTCAGCTTTAGTGAGAAGATAATCCGGTTGTGAACAATTCATTCTAAAAACCTATGGACTTAACCAAAGGGAGTTCTCATTCACTGATAAAAGGGCATATGGAATGGTTGAAAAAATTAAAAAAAGCATGGAAGAAAACCATCAGGGTTAACCAATGGAGGTTTACTTATGACGTCACTCTAGAATATAGTGTGTGGTATGCGAGGAGAGGAAAAGACATTGTGATTCCTAGTGAACAGTTAAAACATCCCTCAAAACCCATTATTCAATATCTTTTGCTTAAAATGGAAACAACTAAGAGAAAACTCCAGTCTGAAAAAGACGAGTTAGAATAAGAAAATAAGCGATTGAAGATAGAAATAAGAGAGTGTTCACGACTTCAAGAACTAAAAATCAAAAGTTTCACGGAGCAAAAAGATCAATGTAAAGCTTTATTTAATGATCTAAACATGACATATTTATCAGTCACACCCGAGCTTGCTCGACTTTTAAAAGAAAATAAATTGTTAAAAGTAAGGGTGGAGAAAGAACAAAAGGCCACTACTATGGCACACGAACATAACCAAATGCTACAATAGATGGTGGATCAACGCACAGCATAAGTAGAAGCTTTGTCTCATGAAGACAGGAAACAAGCTCAATAGATGAGCTATAGAAAGATATGTACACGAAAAAACAAAGGCATCTAAAGCATTTGTTCGATCAAATATGCATTGTTGCAGACAAAGCATCAGAAATGAAAGAAAAAGTGAAAGGTCTGAAGGCTGTGGTGTAACCAGTGGGAGTACATGGACGACATTTACTTGATTTCCTAGATGAGGTACAAAATCATTACCAACAAGCTAGGAAGTTTATAAGGAGGCATTAGAAATAAGGGAATGATGTTTAGGACTTTAGAATATTGCTTTAACTTTATTAGGATGTAATTTTAAAATTTTATTTAACAAAGTTTCAAATGGAGATTTCTTTTATCAATATCGATGATGTGATAAATATTAGTACATTTCATGCATACATTTGCATATCATACATAGTTTCTAATAATCATATAATTATGGTACTCAAGGTTCAAGGATAGCTTCGTCTAGCAAGAACCCCACTCATCGATACAACACAAGAGCCAGAGCCAGACAAATAGAGCAAAAAAATTCTCATCGATTTAAAAAATTAAAAAAAGCATAAGAGAAGATTAAGAATAAGTTGAGTAAAATTCTGGATGCTTTCAACAAGTTAAATAAAGAGAAAATAGTAGAAAAGAACATAAGCCAATAAGGCCCTACAACATAAGAAGTGACTGACCCCTTTATATCCACTTGATTTTGGTCCACCTCAAACTCAGTCTACATAAGATGTTCCACCACAATACTTCACATATCCTACATATCCTAAAATGCCATCAACCTCTAATTCAGGGCATTACCATAGCTAAGTGAATCCTGTCTTTACTAAAAAGACAGTTGAACCAATTCAAGTTCTTAATCTGGATAACATGAAAGAAAAAGAAAAAGAAAAGCCAAAAGTTGAGGCTCAGAAAGACTCTAGAATCAGCATGCTAGAACAAAGGCTACGAGCTGTAGAAGGAATTGGGTTTTATGGCTCTGTTAATGCTGTCGGGCTGTGTTTAGTCACAGATGTGGTTATTTCACCAAAATTCAAAGTACTAAAATTTAAAAAAATAATGGTACGAAGTGGCCAAAAACTCATATTACTATGTATTGTCAAAAAATGATAGCCTATGCTCACAATGAAAAGCTATTAATGCATGTTTTTCAAGATAACCTTACAGGCTCTGCTATTAGATGGTATGTCCAACTTAATAAAACCCACATTCATTCCTGGAGCAATATGGCCCATGACTTCATCAGTCAATATCGTCATATTATGGATTTGGCTCCTGATCGTTTATCTTTACAGAACCTAAAAAAAAAAGGCAAACGAGTCATTCAAAGAATATGCTCAGAGACGGAGGGATGTAGCTTCTCAAGTGCAACCTCTTTTAACCAAAAAGGAAATTACAGTGTTGTTCGTCAGCACTCTAAAATCTTTCTATTATAAAAAGATGATAGGAAATGCAATCAAAAATTTCATCGTCATGGTGATTTTAAGAGAAATTATTGAGAGTGCCATCAAGCATGACAAGCTAGAAGGAAGGGAGGCATCAAGTAAAAGAGCCCCAAAGAAAAAGGAGACTGAAGCTCAGACTGTGAGTTTTGATAGACAACAATTCCACGGTTATCAACCCTATCCACCCCAAGGTTACTCTCTATTTTATCGTGCTATGAATAATGCCTCATCCTACCTATACCAGTTAACTCCACAATCACCTTATTCATCCACATACCAGTCAATTTTTAGCCCTTAAGATCTTACAAATAGCCTCAAAATTCAAACTCTTGTAAGACCTCAAATTCGCCCTACTAACCGAGCAAGTGATTCATGAGAGCAACGAACTATTCGAGAAAAACTCGTATTTGATTTAATCTCCATGACTTATACGAAGTTATACCGAGAGCTTTATAATAACCACTTAATTGTCCCAAGTCATGTGGAGCCACTCAAGCTACCCTATCCCAAGTGGTATGATCCTACAGCCCACTGCAACTACCACTATGAAATTACTAGCCATTCCACTAAAAGTTGCACTGCTCTAAAGCATAAAGTGCAATGGTTGATCAAGGATGAAATAGTAAGTTTTGATTAAAAAAGAGCAACAACACCTAATGTTAGTGGCAATCCATTGCCAAATCACAATGTCAATGCTCTGAGTGGAAATCAAGAACACGTTGGTTAAAAAAAGCCTAAAAAGTCGCAATAAATTGAGGGGCAAGATGTTAATAAAGATCATTCACTTGATTGTATAGAGGCACAATTTTAGAGAATGGAGATAAGGCTGATTAAAAATTTCTTATCATTTTAAGATTTTTTTCAGAGTAATGTTAGGTTTATTTTAGGCAGTAGGATTTCATTTGTTATCATTTCAATAAAAGGTAATTTAATGCATTTCATTACATTTTTTTTCATTCAACTACTATTCCATGCTTTGTCACCTTTCATAACTTTTGTTCCCATTCTTCAATTCCAAATGATGAATGTTTAGACAATGGTAGCAATAATTTTAAGATTTAATTTTGAGAACTCATTCACATTGATTTAAGAAGATTATCTGAGCAAAAAAAGTCAGCTACTAACAGATGAGAAATTAATATATCTTGAAGATGGGTAATTTTTTTTTATACAAATCCATGAGCTTGGTTTTGCACAATAGATGATGATCAAGGAAAGTATTCACATTTTAGATGAAAAATGATCATTTTTTTTACTATTTGAAAAAGCATTCATCGCTACCCCTTTTAGCCTATTATAATTTTTTTTTCTAGAAACTCCGACCAAGGATCACCCTCCATACTATGGAGTAATTTTTTGAAAAAAAATAATCTAAATGGTTTTAAAAAAAAAGTGAGAAAGAGCAAAGAAAAATGCCACAAATGATTTGAGGCAAAGAAATGAGAATCTTTTGTGAAGAATGAGATGAAAAAGAGAGAAATAGTGAAATAATGTAAAGTGGGGCAAAATGCCAAGCTGCATCAAGTGATGATCCTTTGGTTTTGAACCCTTTAAACATATATATTAAGCTTATTTTATCCATTTTTTATGACCCCATACCATGGCCTATATTACAACCTTGAAAAGTTCATTTGGATTAAGTGTGAATGCTCGAATTGAATAATCATATGTTGGTCTAAGGTATGCTCATGACAAAATCATATTATATTACTATAAAAATTAATGTGTGAGAGATATCAACAATGGATGAAAGATGAAAAAAAAAAAAGAGGCTGAAAGATGAAAAAAATGGATGAAAAAAAAAGAGAAAAGAGAAAAAATGAAAAAAAAAAGAAAAAAAAAGGCAAAAAGAAAAAAAATAAAATAAAAATATGAAAAAAAAAAAGAAGACTCAAATTGAAAACTCGAAAGGGCAATTTGGGCATACTAAATCTCTGAGCTGAAAGTTGGATGAACAGTTCAAATATATAGAAGATCAAGGCATCTAAAGATCTTTCAAAGCTAAGGCAAAGTTTGATGAGCTTAAAATGACTTTGATAATCAATGGAATGAGTTTTTGAAAAAGAATCTTGAATTAATGTTTAAATTATCTGAATATTCATTTGTCCCATTAATTCACTTGTCTCTTTTCTCCATCTGATTTTATACTAAGACTCACTTCTCATTAAATTTTTTTTTTTTCAAATGCACATTTTGCTCTTTTGTTCTCACATCCCTAAAATGAATCAAGAAAATGTTTAATTACATTGTGTTTGTCAAGAATTGAAATGATAATGAATGAATGAATGAATATGTGCTTAAAAGAGTCTTGCATTCCTTTTAAAAGAAATCTAAGATGACAAAAAAAAATGAAGAGATCGTAGAAACTTGAGAAGAATGATTTGAGATAACACGTGGTGTGATCAAATGATGAAAATGGTGATGGGTTGGTCAACAAATGAAGAGAGTGCAAAAACTTGAAAATGTGATATGACCAAGTGATGAATACAAGGATGAATTGATCGACATGACCTGCAAGTTATGATTGAATGATGAAAATAATCAGTGGATAAAGTTTGTTTTGGAATGGTTAGGGCTAAAAAACCTATGAGTGTAACATAAGGAAGGACGATGAAATTTGTTTAGAATGATTAATGTTGAGACACCTATGAGTAGTGACCCAGTGATGGTGGATGAAACTTATTCTGAAATTTGTTAGTGCTGAGAAGCCCATGAATGGTGGTCAAGTAATGATCAATTGATGAAACTTGTTCCCAAGTATTGAGAAATCGAACAACGAAAAAAAGTAAAATGGTGGAGTCTTGAGAGCCATATTACCATAATTATATAAAATTTTATGACATTGACGTCCACATTACATACATCATGTTGGCATCATTGCTTAAATAGTACTACACATAATTTGATGAATTAAACTTTGTTTGGACATGCATGGCACTATGAGAATCTAAGTTGTCGCATTTACATCGTTAAGAAGGCATTTGCATATTTGGTCATGACATTCATTCATGTAAATTTTTGAGTCACTTGAAAAATAAATTGTGAATATTTTGATGAGAATTTTTGAGAACTCAAATGAGAATTTTTTAGTTCCAAAATGAGAATCTTTGAGGTGTGAAACCCTAATGTTCGTCGAATGTGAATCCTCGAACTAGAATGAAAAGTTTTAAACTTTTGGATGTGAATCTCCAAAATACAAAGCTTTAACTTTTGGATACGAATCTCTAAATTTTTTAAATGGGAACCTTTGAACTTAGATGTGAAACTCTAAGTTTTATTGCATGTGAACCTTTGAACTCAAATGAAAATCATTGAATTTTTGAATGTGAATCTCCAAAATTCAAACGAAAAGCTTCAGACTTTTGGATGTGAATCCCAAGTTTGCCAAATGCAAACCTTTGAATTCAAGTGAAAAGCCTTGAACTTTTGGATATGAATCTCTAAAATTCAAATAAAGATCTTTAAATGTTGGATGCGAGTCTTGCAAGTTACAAATGCAAATCTTGAGATCTTGCAAATTTAAATTTTTATGAAAACTAAAATTTTGATAATCAAATTTTAGTAAATTCTTACGAAGTTGAAAGGTTCTTGCGAATCTGAACCTTTGAATGTTGAACTCAAATTTTGAATCTTTGAGTTCCCATTACAAAATTCCTTTAGTCACGATTTATAACTCCTTTGGACATGACTGTCAAGGAGTAATTTATTTTCCTAAAGTTCTGTTGCCTCTGTTTAGAGGAGCAATTTAATTTTCAAAGTCGTGGTTGCCTCTGTTTAGAGGAGCAATTTAATTTTCAAAGTCATGGTGTCTCTATTTAGAGGAGCAATTTACTTTTTCAAAGTCGTGGTTGCCTCTATTTAGAGGAGCAATTTAATTTTCAAAGTCATGGTGTCTCTATTTAGAGGAGCAATTTACTTTTTCAAAGTCGTGGTTGCCTCTGTTTAGAAGAGTAATTTATTTTTCAAAAGTCGTTGAGTCTCTGCTTAGAGGAGCTTTGTTATTTTTCAAAAGTAGTTGAGCCTTTAATTAGAGGAGCTTTATTTATCTTTCCAAAGTCGTTGAGCCTCTGCTTAGAGGAGCTTTGATCAAAATTTTAACCAAAAAAAAATGTCAAGTTGAGTCTTGAATGGGTGTCTACGTCTTTGTACAATTCCTGTTTTACAGAAAATGTGCAAAGAGAGGCAGTTGTAAACACCTATTTGGTCCTGGCCCAGATCAATTGACCTGGTCCAAATGGGTAAGCCCATTTGCATTTTTATTTTTGTATATTTATTAATAATATTATTTATTTATTTATTTATTATTATTTATCTGTTAATGTTTATTTTATCATTTATCTATTAATATTTCTTTTATTTATCTATTAATATTTTTATCTATTTTTTTTTTGACTTTATCTTTTTTCTTGATTGATTCTCGGTTGGAATTAGGATCAGAAAAAATTAAAATTCTAGCATGAATTTGGGGCTGACAGAGTTAGGATTGGATTCAAAGATTGAATTCAAATCCTAGGTGCTGGAGCATACGGAAAAGGGACAGAAAATACACAGAGAGGAACAGAAGCTTAAAAAGGTTTTGGTGCGTTAAAACAACTTTAGGAATTTGTGAGAATTTTTTTAGAATTTTTGAAGTTTTTTTTCTGAAAAATTTCTGAAAATTTTCCAGAATCCAACGAAATTTTCCAGCGAGATTCAAGTTTTTCGACGAGATTTCCTGCCAACTTTGAACTTTCCAACAAGTTACCCAGTTTCCTACATAACTTGCTAGAAACCGATCAACTTTTCGATAACTTTCCGACGAGAAACCCAGATTCTGGCAAGAATTTTCAGAATCCGGTTAAATATCAACAGGTGTTCTTGAGGGGGTAGAGAGAAGGGGAGAGAAAAAGAGAAATAGAGAGAGAGGGAAGAAGAGGATTCTACTGGGAAAAACTGAAATTAGCCTTTTATAGCTCCCTAAAATGACACCGTTTTGAGCTTCAGAAAATCTCATGATCCACATGTTTTCATTCGGGCAACCCGACCCATTGCGCTAACTCGCTTCAACCTGCTCCACGAACCCTACTATTGAGCCGAGCCGAGCCGAGCTAAGCCGATTGCCAGTCGAGCCATGTTTTGAGTCGTAGTTTTTGTCTTAAG